TGACCAAAGTTCAAGCAGACACACAAGACAGAGTCTTTCAAACACCCTCGCCATCTACGGTTAATCGTTATGAGATCAACCTGAGTCCACTTCCACGTTGACAAGGGTTTACACCAAGTTGTCGAGTGACACTCAGGCTCTTCGAAGTCCGTACAACAGGTACGGATGCTTTGGAATCAGGGTTTTAGTCAAAGCCCCTTAAATAACCACCAAAAGTTAGCCAATCAGGTGTCAAGCGTCGAATATTCGTCCTTCCCAATCCACTTTAGTGGAAACACTTTTGCAATATCAAGCCAGTGCGTGCAATTGGGCACATCACGACCCAACGTTAAAACACCAACACCGTGATCAATGACTCTGTTCAAGTGGGCGGTTAGAGGTTTATCGATTCAGATCGTTGAAAGCAACTTGGTTGATTGTCAGAAAGCTTAGATGATATAACTGAGCGTGGTGAACCGGTGACGCAAGTGCATATAATCAACTCATCCAGGTGTCACACCTTTGTATAGGTGACATTGTCCCAGCTTTATGTTTGTTGCTTGTTTCCATAATCGGCAACTTATCGGACTGGTGGTGGAAGACAGTAACCAAAATCTACAGGAATGGAGGGCTATGGATTTGCTTTTCATTGAAAATAAAAGCCGGAAATCCAAAGCTTCCCGGGCTAAAATGACGTACCTGTGCCACTGAAGTCCACTTAGCTTGTACACGACGGACATCAAGGTGCTGGTCAATCACATTCCGGCATAACGCTTCCAGACGTTGAACCAGACTGACCGGGTCTTGTTCCAAGGCAACTGAGGAGACCGCATCTATCAGGGTTGTATTCACCACGAAGCGATCTGGATGAACAGAACCACCTTGGTGCTGCAGTTCTCTTTGGGCGACAGGTTGATCGCTTTGCCCCCCGCTGGTATGAGCTAGTTGCTCCACAGCCCAAGCAAACAGATGCTGAGCTGTGTGATGTTGCATCAATTGCATACGACGTTCCTGTAAAAAAATAACAGTGGGAAAGATCATCGTGATTGCGTAGACAGTAGCAATCTGTTGCCGGATATTCAACAGGTAAATGAAGCATTCTTGTGAAGACCACGGCCGATCAGGGTATGATAGTGGGTGGTAATTCTCTTACACCAACGAAACAGATATGATGCAACAGACAGCTCCACGGGTGGGATTTGCTGTAGCGGTTAGGAACCAGTACGCGTTTAGCATGGTGATCAATCGGAAGCTTAAAAACCAAGCAACACAAACGAACACACTGAAGATGGAAAAACTGAGTTAAATGCGCTGGAAA